ATAGATAGATAGATAGATAGATAGATAGATAGATAGATAGATAGATACAAACCTATTGCATACAAAACTTTTCTGCCAGTGTACTGGGAGAGCTTTCCAAATATCAAAGAACAAAGGGAAGTGGCACCCGAAAAGCAGATCATCACGAACCCAACATTGTGTATCCCCAGGGCACAGGTGACATATGACTGAAGAGAAAAGAGGCAAATGTTAAAATGATATTTGCACTCATGACTGTCCTTCCTTATGTGTAGGGACTGAATCCGTCATTTCATGACTACAGAGAAGATCTAGATGGAAATTTGACCATTGCAGCTTAGCTCTTTTTCCATAACTGACAGTCCTAGAGAGTTACTTAGAGCCCTGAGATGTTTCATGTTTTGCCCAGGGTCACACAGCCAGGATGTGTCAGAAGTGGGATTTGAATCCAGATCTCCCTGATTCCAAGACCAGATTTAGCCACTTTGTTGCTTCTGAATTGTCACAGTTTGAGAATTAAGCTTTTTCAAGAGGAATTTAAATCATGCTCTAACTCATTCTGCTATTTGATGGATGGCATGTTGATTTAGCCTGAAATTTTGTTTCATCATTTAGGTCCTTAAAGGAAAATGCTCATCTTCGCATGTGAAATCTTTTTGGATCCAAAGGAAATGAACTGAATTTAGAGTTCATTGACAAAATTCATCCCAATCATCCCTCTATGAATAAATCCACTTCATTTTCTTCAGGAATTATGCTACTAAAGATGATTGATGAAGCTGATCATTACTTACTGCCTTGATTACTAAGGAAGGGAGAGAAGGCAATAAGCATTTGCTAAGTGCCTACTATGTGTCAGGCACTGTGATAAATACTTTACAAATATTACTTCATTTGATCCTCATAACAACCCTATTACAAAAGTGCTGTAATTATCTCCATTTTTCATTTGAGGAAACTGAGGCAGGAAGAGGTTAAATGACTTAGGAAGCATCCAAAGCTAGATTAGTACTCAGGTTTTTCTGTCTCCAGGCCTAGCACTCTACTGTGTCACCTAGCTGCCTCCCATGGGGATGATGAAGGAAGGTGATTAAAAATGAGAAAAGTCTCAAAGCAAATGGGAGGCAGAAAAATGTTTCTTATTTGAGTAAATGTAAAAGATTTTGCTTGAGCTCCTTGGTAAGTGTTCCAACTTGTCTCATCCTCAGTCTCCAAACTACATCTTAGCCAAGGAAATAAAGTCAAGGAAGACACTGAAGAGTAGATCTTAGGGAATGGGAAACAGTGATGGTCTGTTAGTCCATGGCTAAGTTCATCCTTGCATAGTCTGCACTACCATAGCCTGATATACTACAATTGTCCTGACCATGAACAATAAAATTAACTGAGACTGGTGGTACTTTTAGTTTCCTCAATAATTCCTTTCTAAAATTCAATCCCAAAGTGGATTTTATTGGTGGTGTTTGCAACTGGGCAATAACATTTTATTACTATTATCCCAAGTCTTACAGGAAGCCATATTGGGGAAAAAATATATTTTTACATGAGTAAAGACTCAACTGGAAGATCTTGCTCAGAGTTTGACACACACACAGAAGTTGGTTGTCATTGATTATAGGAAAAGCGTCATGCTTGGGCTTGGTGAAAAGAAGTTTGGATTTAGAGTCGGGAAACATCCTGGTTTAGATCCAGTTTCATATGTTTAATCGTTATCTGGGCTAGTCTTTTAGCCAACTCTGTCATACCTGAAAATAAGATGGTAGGGATAATAATACCTGTAGTATTTAAACCACATAAGTGTTGTGAGAAGTAGATGGACTCACAATCACATAATTTAAGTTGAAAGTCCAAACTTGATCTGAAAGATAATCCATGACCTTCAAGGAGGGGACTCCTGGAGTAGTCTATATCATTTTGAGACAGCTCTAATATGCTCACATGAAGCACAAATTTGTCTCTTTGCAACTCAAATTCATTGATTCTAGTTTTGTCCTTTGAGGACAAACAGAACAAAACTAATCCTTCTTCCAAGAGGCTGGCCTTCAGATACTTGGATAAACTATCATGCCCGTCATTTGGTATTAATTATTAGAAGGAAACACATTGAAGACTCACAGTAGGCCCTGTGTCTGCCCTGTCTCTCAGCAGAATCCACTTACATCATTAGTAGAAATAGCACACACAACATCACCATTAGTTATACACACTAATATATGATTTTCGTTTTTTCCCATACCTTTGTATAGTCACTAGAAATGAACCCTTGCTCAAATCCACTATACATTGTCAGAGGAATGAGTAAACATTGCCGTTTGTCTTTAAGATGTTGAAAAGTTGCCAGGAAACGGCTCCATACAGGAATATTCTTTTCCTCTTCATTTTCTTCTGAATCATTTGGAATTTGATCAAGAAATACCGCTATCAATAATACTGCCAAAATCCCACTTCCTATGGAGACAGAAGGAACCTGATGTGACAAGTATGATCAAAATGTGGCTTTTTTGTTAAACTTTTTGGTTGTCACAGAATTTTAGACCCATGATTTTGGAACAAATGGATTCTTTCTAGAGTCTTATAGCAAATGGAGCAACCTGGAGATATGTAAGCAGCCAATAACACACAGAAACATAATGAATACAAACCTGAACAGCTCTTTGCCAGGGAATTTCTGATGAGTTCCCCATTACAAGAGGTCTTCAAATTGGAGGCTGGGTGTGAACTCCTTGGAGAGGTTACAGAAGCAGTTTATGCTTAAGGGAGAAATTGGGCTCTTCCAACTCCAACATTCTAGTAATCCGTGGGATTATTTTTCTTTATTTTATACTTACTAATATTGAAATGTATTTAGTCTTTTTCTTTTTCACTCTGTGTGTTTGTATATGTGTATATATACACACAGAGAGAATGTATACATACACACACACATGTATATATGATATATATACATATTATAGATATATACAATATATTCATACATACAATATATCATACATACATATACATATATACAATATATTTATATGTATGTATACATCTTTCTTCCAATTTCTCCCAATAGGTTTTACATTTCACTACTTGGAAAAGCCAGGGTATAAAAGTTTTCAGATAACTGAAAACTAGATTTTATTGATTACGGCCTTTTTGAGAACATTCACAAAATCAATATGACTAGTCTTAGCAATGATCTCCGAGGATCCTCATTTTTAAGCACTGCTTCATTTAGAGCAGTTTTCATTCATTCCTACTCTTTGTTTCTTGTGGCTGAACCAGTCAGTGAGTTTCCCATGAGCAAAAATATCTTTACCACCTGCCCCTAACTCCATGTCCTTCCACAAATCATGTTAATTCGATGGTGCTAATGAATTAGAATGGAATCTTATTGAGGACTATTTGGAAGTCTCAAGAGATTATGCTCACTCTCATTTCATTGATCTCTCCTCTTTATAATACAAAGGTATTATATTTTACTAGTTGTGGTATGGAAAGGATTCTTTTAGTCCATATCCCCAAGTCACTCATACTGTACTCTCTCATAAATTCCTAATGATTATAGTACTTTTCTAATTCAACTACATTAGCTGATTTCTCTTTATAGAATCACTATTGAGATATATTTCTCTTATCTTCAGCTATTGCATAAGATTCTTTTCTTGCGGTTCCATCATATTATTAGGATCTTTAGTTTCAAAATTGTGTAATAGGATGTTGAAACATTCTCCTGAAGGGATGTTACATATAAATATATGGAGTCCCAGACCTGTCTTGCTTCTAGGTAAAGTTTAGTTCCCAGAACAACTCAAGAGAGGTGAGTGGCCAAAAAGAGAAAAAAAATACATCATATGCTTTCAAAAATGGCTCCTTGAAAGAGATTCTAGTAGGAAGACAAAGTTTTAGGAGCCTGAATTTTTTTTCTTGTGATAGCATACTCTTTATTTTTTTCTGTTTTTCTATGTTCTACTGTATTGTGTTAGTTTTTCCTTAACACTATTTTTATCATAAATATATGTATTTTCAGAGAAGTTGATGGCTGAAATTAAAACAATAATAGTTTCTTTATATTTTACGTGTACTATTTCTATTTTGTACTTTTAGACTTGAAAAACCAATAGGTCACTGGCTTTTTATAATCTAAGCCAATTTGTGGCCTAAGGTTACCCAAGATTTTTTGTTGTCTATAAAGCAGACCAGAAGAAGCCATCAGAGAAAGTGTTAAAATTGGGGTATGGGAATATGCTCATCAAGCAAAAGCAAAGTCACACTGATTCATTTACGTAAAGGGAAGTATACACAGAGGGCTGGAAGACAATCTGGAGATCAAAGGATCATAGTTCTAGAACTGGAAGGTACTATCAAGATTATCATGTCCAGTCCACTCATTTTACAGATGAGAAAACTGAGGTCTAGAGAATTGGGGATTTCCCTAGCTTCCACTAACTAACTAGGGGAAGAGGTAAGATTAAAACTAATTCTGGAAATGCAGCCTCATCCCCTGTTTTTATTCTTGTACCACATTACCTGGTGGATACTTCAACAAACAAAACAAAACAAAAACCTTTTGCACAAAACATCTGGGAATCACTAGAATGAGATCTCTTCCTTATACATCTCTTTTATGTGATTGGCACAGAAAGATGGTATCAAAGATGCCACCTTCAGGCAGAGAAATCAGCCAAATATGACATTAGTTTTTTGTTCATATCATTTGTCCTTGACTGCATATCTAGAGATTTCAGAACTTACTGGAATTAGAACTGGATCTTAGGAGGAGGTGGCAAATTACTGTCTTACCACTCTATGTTTGAATTATGCAACCCTATAAATGAAACATGGCTACTATTTCCTGTTTGTGAAGTTAATTTATCATCTCTTGTTACACTTTCTAATCTCTGACACAAGTGTGACCTAGAAATATTGTCTCACAAAAGTCTATGTAAGTACTGCCTTCGAGTTGACTCTTAATCAATAATTCCCAACCTCTCATCATTTGAATTGCTTATCACAGTTCTCTGGATCCTGTGAACACCAGGTAGGCAAGTAGGGATCTACAGAGTAACTGTTTTTCTGGGGACATAAAAGATAAAATGCCTTCCATGAACAAGAGCCCAAGATGCTGGAAAGAAGGAACACTGTCTCAGAACACAGTATGGAATGGACACAACCACCATATGCCATAGGGCTGAAATTCCATGAAAGATTGGCTTTATATATGAGCTTCTTCTGGGGCTACAGGAAGACCACCACCAACTGTGACAGTTTCTGTTCACTGAACCTCTCACTCCTGTTATCTTATAAATCTCATTGGCTTACCTTTGCTAATACACTGGGATAGGAGTAAACTCTGGTATCTCTAACTTCACTTGAAAAACACCTACCAACACAAACCAGCCCCTCACAGCATATCAGATCTCTTCTAGGAGAGAAATTATGTAAAGTTGGGGGGATAGCCTTTCCTGAGTAAACACAAGAGGAAGAGAGTTTTAGTTGCCCACATTTCCTTACTATTGACTACTAAATGGTATTTACTCTAGACACATACCAGTATAGATACCCAGCAGGGTGTAGATTAAATCATTTCCTGGGCGCTTAGTACTGTTTGTAGCTGTGCTGGTTGTCATACAATCATTTGCTCCACAAAGAAGCAGGTGTTCTTTTGTGATTTCTCCTGTAAAATAAGAATATAAACACATTAGCGTATTCATTACTGTCTCACTGGTTTCAAATATTAAATGGAGGAGTAAATCTCTAGAATCCAGCAATGATAGATTATGACCCTGTGTGGCCACTGACACCAAGATTTCCACAATCTTCTCACATAATTTGTACTTAAAAACAATCACTAGGTTGTCCCTAGAGTTCTCCTATGATGCTTCATCATGGTTTGCAGATGATGCTCAAAGGCTATACCAACCAACTGGAAACTCTGGCACCTCCTCCCAAGTACTGCCCAGAGGTCAACTCTTACCAGCAATTCCCTCATCATTTGAGGTGGTTCATCTCTAAATATGGGGCAACTGATAGACTGTTTATTATCTGAGGACCATCCTCGTTGTGTCTGGAGAGCTTTATCCCCATACAACTCTCTGGAGTTTATCCTTCATGCACAGCCTCTCCACTATCTCAAGACCTTGAAGACAGGGATCCAAAGTTGTAGTTGAAGAATAGTTTGTAGAGACGGATAAGAACGTGACCATCATGTAAACAAATGTTTTGAAAATGGTACCATGTATCAGGCTGTCTCTGAGTAAAGGCCAATATGATTTCTGCTTTCTGTTTCACTTAAAGGTTTCTAGGCACACATCTAGTGCGTCTGTTGGATAATCTAGCACTGGAAATAGAACACAGTAAAAAAGCACTGGATTTGGAGTCAGAGGACCTGGGTTTGAATCCTGGTTGTAGCATTTCCTACCTGTGTAACCTCAAGAAATTTATTTAACCTCTCCAGGGCCCAGTTGGTTCATCTATTTTTAAGGGGGACAGGGAGCTTGTAGGGTTTCTTCTGGTTCTAAATCTATGATCATCTTCAAAAGGTTCAGAAATTTATTTTGCTAAGTGAATCAAACTATAATTTTCTCCATATGATTTTAAGAGCCGGAATTTAAAATAAATTTTGGAATTATTTTGGATAGTCAGGTATCACAATAGAAAAAGTGCTGAATTTGGAGTCAGAAATATTTGGGTTCACATTTGGTCTTAGATACTTACTAATTGTATTATCCTGGGCAGTTCATTTAATCGCTGTCTGCCTCAGTTTCCTCATTTGTAAAAATAGAGATAAAAATAGCACCTATCTCTCAGG